TCTTCTTCTTCTTCTTCTTCCTTTTTCTCTCCTTTTTCTCTATTTCTGCGGTCTCTCCCTTAGTTTCCGCGACCACCGATCCCGAACCGTTCTTTTATTCGTTTCCCTCGTTGCACTCGTTTCCGTGCGTCTCGTCGCTCCTCGTTCTCGGTCTCGGTGGACACGAACCGCGCGAGTTCCTCGAACGAGGCCGGTCTACACGTTATCGAACTTGGTCGATACGCGCACGCCGTTCCTCGTCGTCTTCCTCTTCGTCCCGTTCCGGCCTGTCGTCGACGTGGTCGCCGGCCACCGTCCCCCGGGCGTTGTTCAGTGCGGGCGCGATCACGCGGTCGGATGCACACGCGGCCTTATCCCACCCGCTGGAGATGGTGCTCTGCGACGTCTGCGACAACAAAGGTGAGATCTATTGTTCGTAATAATACGTGGCGCCGCCGACCATCAACGGGAGAGAGGGAGGGAGGCTAGTTGAAATTTGACGAGCTTACGTAAGCTTTGTGTATAACGCGCGATAAACGAGGTAGAAATTCTTTTGGACAGTGACTTCTCGACTTCTCGAGGTTTTCGTCTCTCTCTTTCTCTCTCTCTTCTTTTTTTTTTTCGTATCGATATTAACGGAAGAGGAACGAATAATAAATCGGTGCCGTACGAAGCAACGTGGTTTCTCGATACTCGATCGATAAGGATTCTCGTGTTTCAGCGTACCTCGTGTCTTGTCACGAGCGGATTTATTTATTACGTTTCGGTCGAAAGAAAGACGGGAGCCGGCGAAAGGTGAGAGAGATACTCCCGTGGTAAACGCCTGACATTTTCACCCCTTTAGACAAGTTCAAGAGACGCCGTTTTCGCGAGACTCCTCTCTGCTCTTTCGTCCCCGCCAAATTTTTTCCCTCCTCCTCGTTTCGAATCGTATGCTAAATACTGTACGTTGATCGAAACAACCCGAGTTTAAAATGTCAAATATTTTCCAAGGTGCGGCTTCTCCATGCGATTCCGTACACTCGAATTTCCCATTTGTAAATTTTCATTTATCGCAAATTCGATATTCGCGATAGAATCCTCGACGAGGATGTTTAACGAAGTTAAATTCTCGTGTTTGAGGATTGAGAAGTTCGGTCGACCGAAAATAGATACCGAAGAAAGGTTCCATCGGTGTCGCTGCACCCCTCGTCAACGTGAATCGTGTATCGTCTCGCTATTGTACACCATTGGGCGTGCCATAAATTCCGTTCCGAGAAGAGAGTCCGATTAAAACGGCAGACTAAGCGGCTCTGGAGATTACGAGGACCCGACTCGGTGTAAACAAGCCTCGTTATGCACTTAATTACGAGCACTCAAACTGTACGAGGGCTGGCGCTCGCGCGCGCGTGTGTGTACGTGCCCGACCACTGTGCTCCATTATATTCGGCCAAGTTTTCTCACGCTCTGCCTCGATGGACCGTCGAGGAAACTCGTCGGGAAATGGGTGTTGTTGAAACGGGTGCTGTTTTCGAAGGAAATCCAGTTTCTGAAAATTTAGGGGCCATTCTCGACTCGAGGATCGGCGTAATTTCACAGAGATCGCTGACTTTTGTTCGACAGAGATAGCGGCCACCCCGTTTATACCGCTATTTATAATAACCAAGAGCGATAATGTCGAGTTAATCGATCGAATGCGCGCTTTGTGCTGAGAGAATCGAGCAATTCTCCTCTTGAAATTATGACGATGATATTGCGCGAATATTCGAATATACGCGTCTTTTCTTCTTCTTCTTCTTCTCGATTTCTCCCGATTTTCGATTTAGAAGAAGACGATGA